ATCCTGCTTTCCTACACCAAAGCCTTCACCTCCCCACCTACCTTCTTCTCAACAGACCCCTGTCTGTCTCATAATCCCCCTCTTCATGCCTCTCAATCTTGTTTGTCTTAAAAACTGCCTATTATTTTGTAAAAGTTGACTCTTGGAAAATCAGTTCCCTTCTGCCACGATTGAGACAAATGTGTTTCAATGCTTAAAGCGAGGCGGATTTCTATTTCTGATCTATGATTATTTTCCCTGTCGTGCAGCCTCTGCCTTTAAATAAACTAGCCAAAAATAGTTATACTTATGTTATACTGTGATATTTGTTGTTGGAAGGAAAGTTTCACCTTTGAATACGTTGCTGTTTAAGAATTACAAGAAGTTTGCTGTTGAAGAGGCAGAAAAATAAATCTAAATAACAGCTTCCTAAGACTGAATACAGGACAAATACAAAACATGTCCCAGTCAGAGTGCAGCTCTTTCTCACTGGGAAAACAGAGTTGTAATTTTTTTGTTTCTTTGTAGATGTACAAGTTGCAGCATTTAAAAGTTTGAGATTGTTATTTGTCTGCTTTGCTTCAAAGTATAACACCAGTGTAATTATTTGCTCCGCCACCAATGCTTGTGACGTTTGTAAACTCTGGTGTATTAAGTCAGAAGCTATTGCTGTCTGTTTCCCTGTAGCTTTGAGTCACCTCCTTAAGGTCATAATGTTGCATTGATTTAGATATTTTTAATCCAGTTAAGAACCTTTGAAGATATGCTAATGCACTGAGGAAAATCATCCTTACTTTGAATGACTCTGGAGTAAGAACAAACCTGAGGGAAACTGTTCTAATGCATTTTTCACAGCTGTCTTCTCCACCCTACCTTTCAACTTCTTCAGCTGCCGAGTTCCCCCTCACTTTTACTTAACCTCTTTCTATTTTCCTAATTATTTTATAATTCTGCGGGCACTACCACACTAATCTTGACTTTTCTCTTCCTTTACCTTCTCCTCCCCCGTCTCTATCTGAAGTTGCTTCTCCTTCTCAGTCTACCACTTTGCTTCTCTTCTTACCCTCCTCCTTCTGGATCATGGCCAAACAAAGGGCTAAACCCACCTCACATGACCCACACCCACCCAACCCAGCACTCTGCAGCAGGCGAACGCAGCCAGACTTTCCCCTTCACTGCTCATTCTGCGCTCTGTGCCCTCTGGCCTTCATCCCTACCTGCCAACACCACACACACACCCACACACACCCACTAACACTAATGCTGGTGGTAATGCTGATTTCATACACAAACTCCATGTTTGACACGGGATAATAACCATGTGTTCAACCTGCTTTTGACCGACCAGTCTGCTGTTACAGGTTAATCCCTGGCTGCTGATGTTGACACATACTCCCCTCTGCAACTGCAGACGAGTTCACATTGCTGTATGACATTGTACACTGCTAAAGTATCGATACGGAATATTTGCTTAACAAAGTATTTGAATTGATCGGTTCATTAAAGGGTTTTGCTGCAGGGTTTACACTTTCGAGTCAGTGTTAGAGTTTTACAGAACCAAACGAAACAAGCAGTGTCAGATTAGGGTTAAAGTCTAAAGCAAGGTCGGGGACTAAAGTCAGATGATCTGTAATGGAATCGTTCTAGTCGATCACCCTCATGAGAAGTAGGTAGCCAAAGGAGCACTGTGAATAATGAATGGTGTACTCTTTGCTGCGAGTGCATTCTTAAAGGAGACATATGATGCCTTTTCAGTTTTTCGTTCCTCTAGTGTGTTATATAGGTGTTTTGTGAATTTTAAAGTTCCGCAGAGTTAAAAAGCCAGAAGTCTGTGGTTCAGGGAGCTCCTCTCCTCCATTTAAAAAAAAAAAAAACTCCTCTACTGGAGTGGGAGGAAACATGTTGTTGGGGGATTCTGATGATCTTGCAAAGCTCATTTCTAATATCCCACAATTTGGAAGCACGACTCTAATCAGATCCCTGCTAATGTTTACACATGTTGTGAGTCCTCAGGTGCATATGTTTGGCTCAGCGCTAACACTTCACCAGTTACACACAAACATAGCGAAGATACGCTTTCTTTCCCACGTACATGAATATGTATGTGCTTTCACCTACATTCCTGCTGCCTCCTTATTTGTCTCTCTTAGACACTGCAGTAGTCAGTAGAGGAGGTGTGTGGGTTGTAAGCTGGCAGCTTACAGTGTTAAGTGATTTAGAAGGTGGTTTTAGTAAGGCACTGTGAGTTGAGGCAGAAATATGGGACATTAATGGACTTACATCTGCCTGTGAGACAAAAAAAACCTATTTTCTCAGAATAATAGTTTCCTGCATCTGTTTGTCCCTGGGATAAATTCAAAGATGGCCTTCAAATTGGCAGCAAATGTATTTTCTGAACTTGAGTTTTCCTGAACAACCCTTTCTCCAAAAAGTCATTGTTGACAAAAAATACATAAAGTAAATTAAAAAAAAACACCAGCTCTCTGGGTGGTGTCTTGTGTCTGGTGACGATATGATGAGTGGATTCAAGGTTATAATTTCTACTCAAAAATGTGTATAGAGCACACTTGACACAAATGCTGTTATTTGTTGCACTGAACACGAGGTGCTCGAGAACAGACAAATCTGTTTTCCGCCTGCTCCTCCTCTTCACTCTGCAGGCTGGAAGCATGCAGCCTGTCACTGGCACTGCAGTGAGCCCAAACATGATATGACCTAAATAAACGAGTGTGTTAGGAGAGCGGGAGTGAGGGATGAAGCAATATTCTTTCCCTCCCTCACTCAGCCGTCTTGTTTTTAAACACTTTAATCTACTGCAGGCTGAAACCTTTCACATGTCTGTGTGCACACCGGAGTCAGAATATGTGTGTTTACATCATGGCACCTGAAAAGCTTATTTGGCTCTAATTCTGCAGGTGCTCGCACTCATCTTATTGGGCCCCATTTCACACAGTTCCTCTTGCAAATGTATATCTTTACCTAATACCTACTATATGAGTCTACGAATGATGCTGCGAATAACAGATGTAAGATGAGAGGTGTCGGCTGTGCCACACAATAGCTTTCGTTAGAGAAGAGGTGACAAAAATCCACCAACTATAGCCAAAATCTCTGCGTGAATTTGGCATCTTGTTTGCAAGTTTGGCCACGCTACTACTCATTTGGCCAAGTGACGAGCTGTCATATAAGGGCCCACACTTAGTTTATATGTAGGCAACAACAGGTTTTATATTGTTTAAAGTGCAGATACATGCTATCTGAGTCCATGGTCCACTCCAGGGTTCCTCCTATAGCAGCAGTAGATGTTTGATGTGTTTCAGTGACCAGGTCAGGACTCTATGCTTCATTGTGTGCTGCCCACAGAGCTGCTGCCTGACAGGGACAGATAAGACAGCCTCACCTCAAACACTTTCTACACCCCCTGCTATTACTGGCTCACAGGACAGGTTGCATTAGGCAAACAGACATCTCAGTCCTGTGAGTGTGTGTGCATGTGCGTGCATGTTTGTGTAGTTAAGTCGGTACACATGTGTGTGATTGCTGTGAGCATGTGAGTGCACGCTGCTGTGCTTCTACTTGTTCCTGTATGTGTGTGTGTGTGTGTGTGTGTGTTTGCTTGCGGACAGTCAGTTCACATGGATTAAAGACCTTTAATCCAGCCAGATCCTCATCGGCTCAGAAGTTAGTGGCTACAACTTGTTAGTCAAGGAGTTTACTCTTTGCTCATGTGTTAAAAGTCAGAGTTGCGAGGCTGAATGACTCCTTGTCCCAATATTGAGTCGCTCCAGACGACTTGAGCCAGTCTCTCTGATGGGTGCACCTCTCAGTTTCAGTCTCTCTATGATGGGTGCACCTCTCAGTTCCAGTTTGGATCAGCAACTTTTAATTGGGCCTCTGCTTTCTTGTGCCTCCCATTATCCCCCCCAAAGCCAAGAAGACATGCATGTACTGTCTGTTTATAAAAGTGTATGTAGCCTGTGTCTCTCTCTTGCACACTCTCCTCTTAATGCACAAACGTGCATGGGAGGAAGGAAGTTTTTCTTTGCAGAGAAGACTGATTCGAATAACTGCTTGTCAATATTGACTTTTCGGCCAAACATGCAACATTAATCTTGATTCTTTAACTTCTTTAAATCTTCAGATGAACATTTTTAAATATTTAAGTTTCAAATGGGCTCGTCCTGAAAAGGCACAATGATATAATGCACGGCTAACCAGAGTATGTAGAAATTTATGAAAACGCGTGTAACCTTAACAGTTGGACCTCTGTAGTTTGTATTCCCATTCGATTGTCAGCGGGATCAGACAAAAATTACTGAACAGATTTTCACGAAAGCAAAGACAGAACCCACTAACATTTGGTGCGGAACTGGACAAAAGGGTAGACATTTCATTGCTAATCTATGAGTGTGTGTGCGATTTGATGGGGCTTGGTTGAATTTTAAGGGACGGTTGAGCCTTGGCAGAGGTATGCGCTCTACTGAGTGCCATTCTAGTTTTCCAATTAATTAGTTTCAAATATTTCCTGGCATCAGCCGGTTCTGCTGTAGCAGCTGAGGCAGCCAGGGGTTCAGGAAGGGATAGCTGTAGTTAATGAAGAGAGAGATGTGGGAGAGGAGGAGCAGCAGGTGAGATTGACAGCAAACTCAGAGGTAGATAGATGTCTTCACCATCAATCTCACCTGTAATAATTCACTGTTATTGTACATGTAAATAATCCTCATTGTCAAGATGACCAACTGTAAGATCTCAGCGGTCACTTTTTAATATCCATCTATGAGAATTTTAGTTTACTGTGTTTCTAAAGGGCGTCTTATCCATCATCAAACAAAGGACGGAGTATAATTTCTGTGTTGAAATACACTATTCACTGCACGTTTCCCAGACCTAGAAACTTTTATCACTTTTTAATAACTGTCCTATTATTGGCATTTCTCCAGCTTTCCCACCATTTTATTTTTTGCTGCTGCTGACTTTACAGTTTTCATGTGTTTTAATGAAATATCTCTTACCTCTCACAGGGAGCTCAGCAATGAATAAGCTACGGCAGAGCTTCCGGCGGAAGAAAGACATCTACGTGCCTGAGTCGAGTCGGCCGCACCAGTGGCAGACAGATGAGGAGGCGGTCCGGACCGGGAAATGCAGCTTTGCAGTCAAGGTGACCCTCCCCTCTTATCCTCACACATAAACACACCTGCATACACAAAATATCACAAATTTTTCCTCAAACACACAAACTCTTATACAGAGCACTGACCTCAGTGTAGCACACTGATACGCCTGAGAAACTCTCATGTTGGCTGGCTCCCCAAGGACGCTGCTTGTAATTAATCATAAGCTATGTGTGAGCACAGGTTTTTATCTAGGTTGCACATTTATATGCTGTATCCTTCCAAAGTAAGAGGTTGTGTGTTCACTATTGATTTCTGGCCTCCAAGAGTGACTGAGTCATTAAGTTAAACACGAAAAATTTAAGAAAAATGCTGCACTATACTTGACAAATATATTGGGAGCATTGCGATAGTAAAGAGCTCGGTAGGACACTAATACAGTGTCTTTGTACATGCAGCCTTCAGTGCTCGACCTGCCGTGCTGCAGTTGATGAAGTGGAGAGTTCACTGTATTGTGGCAACAAAACCTTCCACATTTACTAACAGAAGCACAAAGTCACGCTTCCTCTCATCACAAGGGTCCAGTGTTCACCTTAGCTTGGTTTAAAGGGGAACTGAAAACTTCAGTCGGGAATATTCATCTCAGAGCAGATGGACTCTGTGGCTGTTCGAAGGGATTGTGTCACACATAAGCCGGAAGCACAGGTTATGGTTTGTGATAACCTGTGTTTCATTTGAGCAAGAAAAGGCGAATTGGAAATACATTTAGAGGGTGACAGTGGTGTGACTATAACGCTGAATATCATTATCACAGGAAGAAAATTATTTTTGTTCAGGTCTGTTCATTAAGTAATCAAGTGCTCATGTTTCTGATCAGTTGGTTTTAATTATTTTTTCAATGCTATAAAAACAGGGTGGAACGTCATGATTGACAGCCGAGACTTGTGATTTCAAACTTCAATAATATTTTGATTGTGTACATGTGTGTCAACGTGTTGGCTCCTGGCCTAACCCTAAACCCTTTCATACATTTCAGCCAGTTTGTGGAATCCCCCACTTTCAAAATTTCCTCTAAGCTGACTCCCAAATGTTCCCTTAACACACATGCTCCCACATACCTCCCCTCCCCCAAACGCTCCCCATAAATTGTCTCTCAACGTAAAGAAACACTTGTCTTTTAGCAACTGCTTCACACCTCTGTAAAGGTGTAGATGAAACTAGGTGTTTTCATGTTGACTTTTGATTTACTACTTTCATCAAATGCGCTAATTATTTTTCAGCTCTGTCTTTAAAGAGATTTTTGCGAATTGGCTTCAAGGAAAGAAGTTTCATTAAAGTCCTGAAGATTTCTTTCTTTCCGATAAATTGCTGGGCCCACATAAATCAGCAAAACAACAAAGTAAATCTCTGCTCTGCAACTGAAACCCGGCTAACTGACCATTCTTGTGGTGTCTTGTGCTGTTCTAAAGATCTTGTCTTTACGTATTTAAATCAGACAATGAAATGCAGACTTTGTCATGAACAAATTGAAAAAATAGCTTTTCTTTGATTGTTTAGATTATTACAATTACTTCTGCAGCCACACACACTTCTCCGCCAGCGTTTTTTTTCCCTCTGCACTGGCTTTCACTGTGCCAATGCAACCTACCATGCTACTCCTCTGTGTCTCTCCTCCCCCCCTCACTCTGCTCCCTCTCGCTAGGTGCCTCAGAGGAGCCCAGTTGTGTGTGGGTTGAGATAGTTGCGGTGGAATTATCACTGACTGCCGCACTACACAGTAATGAACAGAGGAGCGGGAGAGGAGTCCGTTTTAAAGTCGCGCTGGGAGGGAAACGGGTGATCTGGGCTGGTGGTGATATTAAGATTGGGGGAAATTAAAAAAGATGGAAAGATCTGGAAAGAAGGCATATGTGAGGCTGCTTTTCACAGACTTTCTCTGGCAGACTTCGTCACTGAAATTTATGGCCAATACCCTATATTAATTCCTGGAATACATCTGGAACACATCTGGAGGATTCCTATCAGCACAATCTTTTATCAGATAAAACTGTACTGAATATTCAGACAATACAGGGCTGCTCTTTTTAAGCTTCTGGCAGTCTTGACCTCACATGCTCCTCATCGCCTGCTGCTTTAAGTAGATGTTGCACTTGTTGTCTTTCTATATTCGCTATGTTAACTCTGCTGGTCCTCAAGACCAGATTAGGCCCAGGGACAGATAAATGTTAATTAAATATCTAATCTTAAGTCTTTCCTCAACAGACACGAAAAGCTGGTATTGCACTTACAGCACATTAATACAAATATCACGATGTAGCCCAATGCAGGATTAGTTACCAGTGAAAAAGATTCTGGGGTCGGCCCACTAATAGGTTTTCAAATGAGCCTATCCATTTCCACCAGGCTGTTCAGGAGATATTAATTCCATTTGTTCAAGTTGCTTTTGTTGAGCACAGATATTAAATATGAATGTCGCAGCCTCCAGATTGTTGCCGCCAGCTAATTACTAACAGGAGTAAGATGCTACGACGAAGCATCTGTTGTGACACTTCAAGCCTCCCCTGCGTTTACTCATCTCACCTTAGTGACGTCTCCTGGCAGATCCTTTTATTAGTAGCTCTGCTGCTTCGACTGTCCTCACTACTCACAGCTGCCTCCTCACAACAGTCGTCTGTGATACACATGTGTTTCTGTGCACATCTCTGTTTTTAATGTACATAAGTGCATACACACAATGTTTTCTAGTACGGTGATGTGACTCACAGTTGTGGCGTCACAGTCTTAAAATAGCATGGACAGAGGGTGGGGGTGTCAGACGGCAGTCAACGTCACTTGCTGTGTGTGTATGTACAAGGAAAGGGTAAGGACTTCCTCTCCGGCCCCTCATGTACAATGGCTTCTGGGGCAGTCAGGGTTATAAGTCTGGACTCTGGGGTGACACACAACAGGGTGTGATGCTGCTTCAAGTCAAGGAGGGAGGGAGGGATGGATAGGATGACAAAGATATGGTAAATCTTTTCTGGCATAGACAGAATGATAAACTGATTTAATCAAGAGAATTATCTGCAGATTAATTGATAATAACTTTAATGGCTATCAGTGCACACCTCTGGCAAGGACCAACAGTCCCTCAGGATGGGGTTGACCGTAATGAAGGCCACAAGCAGAAACATATCGGTCTAATGTGACAAGTCAGTGTTCAGGGACGGGGGTGGCGCTGAAATACCACAGATTTGATGTTTTCCTTAGAAACTGATTCTAGAAAGATTAAACAATTGATGGAAATCATTCCAGGAAAGTTAGTTTCCTTCAATTGACAATGTTACCTGATCTGATCTCACCTTTCGTTGTGTGTGTGATGAGCCAAAACAAATTATCTACTGCAGGTCAGGTTTCTAAGTCCACATGAAACATGAAGACGGCCGCGTGTCGACCAGGCTGACTGTATGAAGAAAGAGCTGCTTCTTTTTGCCCCCTCCATGTTTTTATTCATGTTTCTTTGGAGTGTTGAGTATTTTCTCTTGCAATTTTTAGCACTTTCAAAATCTGGGGCGTAACCAGGGAGTAATTGAACTGTGATTGACCTCAAAATGTTAATTAATTAGGTTTATAAATCACCATTGCCATCGTACCAGGGGAGAGGACTGATTTAAATAACCAATCTAATTCCAGAGTTTATTATGGTAGCCATACTTAAACTTGAGTAGAGATTGCCACAGGAAAGGTTTGTCACAGTATTACTTAGTCTCTCTCTCTCTCTCTCTCTCTCTCTCCCCTCTCTACCCGGCAGTACCTGGGACATGTGGAAGTGGAGGAGTCCAGGGGGATGCACATATGCGAGGATGCAGTGAAGCGGCTGAAGACGGTAGGTTTCACAGTACTTCCAGGAATGAGGCTGTTAAACACCAGACATCCTCCTTCCTCTTTATCTGTGCTCTCTCTTTATCTTTTCCTCCATTAATTTCTTTCTCTGTGAAACCAGAATCCTACTGACATTCTGTAACGTCTTTTTCATGACAGCCCTCTGTCTTCTGTCAGCATGCAGTTGTTTTATTCTTCTTTGTGTTTCGCCGCTGTTTATTCCTGTCTCGGTGTCTCTGTACACAGAGGCCTGAGTGTGGCTGATTCTTAACCATTTCTCAATGAGCGTCTCCACCCAGCATGACCTACCAAAACCTCCAGGGGTGTTGGAGTCTGTTCTGAACGTCTCTTCCTTTCTGAGCCCGCGCTCTCAGCCAGGGGAAGATAGGCCGGCGTGTACTTCCTGCTGCGGCAGATTCCAGCGGAGTTGCACAAAAAGGAGCAAATTCCAGTTTGGGGAGCAGGGGAGGGGAAGGGGGGGAGAAACTGTAGAGCAATCACTTTTCCATGTTGTCAGTTGTTTGCCAAGGCCCCACCCAGGTTATAAAGTCATGTGTGTGTATATGAGGCTAAATCTAACTGAACTATCTGTAATTAGCTATCAGTTTCAATTTGAGATCCTGTTGTCAACACCTTTGGATTGTGTTCAGGGCCTTTTAGTTGTATTGCATATTCTACTCAGTGAGCTACTTACCTGATGCGACATGTGCGTGTATATACTTTAAAGATCTGGTGCAACTTTTGTGTGCTTCTCCCATTAGTGTTTTTTACGTCATTGTTTTCAAGTCATGACTTATGAATTACTTTGTATGTTTTTCAGTCCTCTTCAGTACTTCTTTCAGTACTCAAAGGGTTTAGTCATTGTCGGCGATAATAATAATACTGAACGTTCATATGAATGGCAGCAACGCACGCGCTCAACTTTTATACGATGCTTGAATATTTACTCACAAACAAGCACATACTTGTAGACACCTGTAGTTGTGTGCGTGTGCCCGTGTGTGTGTGTGAGAATCTACACATACACACAACTAAAACCCACACTCAGAGATGGCTCGCAGGCAAATCATTTGTTCCCACAGGAGCACACACTGGAAGAGGTGTACCCATAGAAACAGCAGATAAACACACTGAATACACACATGCATGCTGTTACAGTGATACACACATACATGCAAGCCTAATAAACACACACACAGCAGCACATACACACAGCTTGATGAGGTCACATGGTGAACACAGCCTGAGGCTGTGAGATCTTATCGAGATCGAGTCATTTTAATAAGGCTAATAAAATGGAGCCAAATCAGAAGGAGAGGCAGGTGCTTCTGTCTCCTGTGCTCCTTACGGCCGTGACGATCTGACCCTCCTTAACCTAATGACATTTCCTCATCTGCCTCCTCATTTTTGCTGCTCGCTTCCTCGTTCCTATAGCAAGTATTTGTAAGCTAGCACAGCCCGGTTTTTTCAATCTGCATTCATAAGCAAAGTGGGGAATTAACTCTAGCTTCATAATATCTCTCAGATTGGCATCTAATCTCATCTAATGTTTCTCTTTACACATCATCTTTCCTGCAAACTGGGCTTCATCCAGTCGAGTCCTGGCATTGACGTTGCAGTTCACCTGTGTGTCTGAGGGGCTCGTCTTACAGGAAATGCCAGAAAACAATCACTATTGGTTGGGAGCTGCTTACTATAAGAGGGTTTCCATTCATTCCAATGAAAGGCTCTTCATTTTTTTCTGTTCCAGGTTTGTTTCCTTGTTGTGCAATCTGTGACTGTTAAGCATTCATAGTCTGCTGCCTTATCCCATGCTCTTTATATCAAGATGCCATCATGCAATAAAATAGCATTTCGAGGCTTTGGGAAAGTTTTTCAAATACATAATTCTGTATCATTAATATTCACCAACATTCAGCACCAGGGCTGAGTGCAGTGAAATAACAGAGGAGTTGTGCTGCATTGCGTCGCTCTGCACTTTCATTTCAATTTCTCTATTCTCTTTTCATTATAATTAGTGTTGGAGTCCAGTGATTTTCAGACGAGAGTAGTTTGTTAATGTCGTACTTTCATCCAGAGTTGCTCTAAAGAATAATAAAATGATTTGGATCAACAAAACAAGGTTGGAGTCATGATGTTCAGTCATCAATGATGTTCGGGGCCTGGGGCCAGCCCTAATGCCAAATGAGGTCTCTGTTTTTACATCTAATGTCATTTTAATGGGACATCTTCTCTTAAAATGTGGACGGGATGCTGGCAGGAAGGCTTATATGTCTTATATAGCACAGAAAAACCCACTGGCACAAAATACGCCTTCCCCTGATGCCAGTTATCCATGTCAGCGCTAAACATTACAGACGAACTCAGGGCCTCCCTCTTTTGAGCACATGCATAGTTAGCGAGGTCCTGAGAGATCCCACTTTATCCTCACTGACTCTTTAATTAGCTTACTGTTGCAGCTAACTGTTGCCAGGCAACAAATACTGCCAGTGTACACTCTTATTTCCAGGAAGTAATAACCCACATTTGTCTGGAACCAGGCCCTCACCTGTAGGCACTCATCATCATGTGGGCTAAGTAAAGGATGCTGTTTCTTGATATTAAGCTAATATCTGCCAGACAGCAGCCGCGTCATCAAACCAATCTGGCAGCATCAGGCCGTACGGTCTCAGGGCAGAAGAGAGAGATGAGAAGTTATTCTCTCTGCTGCATCAGTAGGAACAACAGGGAAATAAATGTGCCTTAAGCTGGAGGGTGTGTATTGGTGGTGTAGTTGTCATTGAGTGTGTGTGTGTGTGTGTGTGTGTGTGACAGCTCCAGCTCTGAGCCAACTCCATTGTTTTTCCCAGCAGCCTTTGGGACAGTAATGAGAGTTTTCTCGCAGCTCTGCGACCTGTGACTCAGAGGGAAGGATGGAGGGGGGCGGAGGAGGAGGAGGAGGCTGCATTGCGGTAGCGTCAACCTCCAAGCTGCCCTTTTTCTTGTTGTCATCGTGATGTCACTTCCTGCTATTGCTTTTGGCCAGTGGCCCGGGGTTTGAGGTGTATTCTGTGTTCCAGCAGAGGGAATGTTTTAGCTGCTCCTCGGGAGCTCATAGAAACCAGGGTTGTTTCCTCTGTGTTGACTGGGTGAGGCACCCCACCATGATGCTGAAAGAATTTCAATTGTGTTTGTATCAACACCCAGGAGCCTCAGGGTGCATCAGTGACAATGTATCAGAGTTCATGAGGTGGTTTGTGAAACCTGGCTGTGTCAATTTAGGCTTCTAGTGTCGCATGCTATGCAACGTTGTCTCACCTTCACTAGAGATATTTCCTGTGTAAACACAGTGAAGCCACACAACAAGGTCTTCACTCTACACAGAGTTCATGTCCTGACCTCACTAAACATTATCATCAGAGCACAGCCTGTATGAGCCTTTCACAGACATGTGTGTTTGGAGAAAAACTTTTATTTTGCAGAATTTATGCATTTTCTTAATTCAAGTTCTGTTTATTTTGTTTTCTTGTTTGTTTTCTTTTCATCCGTAGTTATTTAATACAAAGTATACGGTTAAACCCTGAAATATCAAGCCTCAATCACATTCCTTTGCCATAAGGATTTGATCTGAGGAACCATTTGCATGATTGGCAAAATGGTCCAAATCAGCATCGACCCCCAAAAAACTCACATGCACCTTTCCTGCAGGGTGGGGGTTCGAGCGCTGTCCGTGTCGGGTAAAGTAATAGGATGACATACGCTCTTATCGTGGAGTAGAGATATCTGTAGCTCATGCTGTAAGGTGTGGCTGTCACTGATACACAAGATGTGTGGTTTTATTGTTGGACATCCTGCTGGTGGCTCATGCTGCTCCAGCTTGCTAGTATCACCAAAAGGTTTTGACTGTGTGTGTTAAGGTTGTCAATTACAATAAAGTCTAGTACTTATATTTTACTATTTCTTTCGACACAGTAAATGGTTGTTGGCTACTAAGTACGTTTTCTGCTCCAGTTGTTTTGTTTTTGACGTGTTGGCTTCACTCTAATCTTTCAAACCTCAGCTTTTTCCCATTCTGTAGTTTCATCACCTATTAAATACCCGATTACTGATCTTTTTGTTGGTGTTACAATTTTTTTTGTCTTTTTAAGCAGGTTTTAATGCAGAGATATGCCATCAAATCCCCCCCCCCCCCCCTCATATTACCCTTCCATTCTAGTTATCACCACCTTAAAGATATTCCCCCCCCCCCTAACCAGCATACTAATACTAGCTGAGCATACTCACTGATGCACACGCTAGCACACTATCAGGTGCTGAGCTCATTTGGAATGAATCTCCATTGCTGGTTAACACGTTAAATCATGCATTAACATGGTGCTCTGAGTGCTGTCTCCACCACGGCTGTGTAACAGGAGCGGAGTGGCACTCCTTTTCACAGCTTATGGGGAGGAGAGGAACAATCAGGGAGTGAGGGGAAAAAGGGAGGATTAGCTCTAGGCTGAGTCTGGTTGTGGTGTCTTTATGCGGCTGTGGCGGCCTAAACTTGACCCTGACTCTGGCCAACCACTGGCCAACATTCACAGACTCAGGTCAAACTGCCGTCTGTGGGAATCTGTTTCTGTCTGCTGAACACAAATGGTAAGACCAAACCTCGGTCTAGGAATCAGAGGAGAAAGAATAAAATCTGATTATCCCCTCCGCAGACACAAACCTGAAGGTCTGCAATCTTTATCTCCTCTGTCCAGGCAGCTTGGTGTGCTGTTTTGGCCGTGGTGCTGTTGTGGTGTTACAGGCATGTGGCTGTTGATTTCTGTCACAGAAGAACTAGAGGGCGTAATATCCTGCTGCCGGGGTGATCGGTTGGGAAACAGTAATGTGGTTTACTGGCTTCCAGTGTGGTAGTACTAACGTGATCATAAATCATAAACACAATAACAACCACATTCAAACATCTGGTAGTTTGGAATCATGTGGAGCTACCTGATCCATTATCTCTCTCACTTACTCACTCACTCACTCACTCACTCACTCACATCGACAGTATTCAAAGATGAATGATTTAATTTCTTCCTCCCATTGTACAAACAACATGTACTTTGACTTTTTAGTTTGGTCTGTGTCCAATCCACCTTCCTGGAAAAGGTGGGATTTATGATCTTTACAGCAGCCAAAACTTCCATGTCGTCAATCTTAGCATACAGTCATTTGTCACTCACTCACTCACTCACTCACTCACTGACTGACTGCGTCTCCTCTTCCTTATTCTTTATAAAATAAATCTTTATATAGAGTCTACACTCTACACTTTAAAGCAAATATGACCTAAAATGACAACGTTCATTTGAGGTGGACCTTTAATTAACTTTTTTAGTTTGATCCATGTCCCATCTGCTTACATGGCAGAGGTGGGGTTAATTATCTATACTGCAGCCAGCCACAAGGGGGAGATCCAGACTTCTCATGTTGTTCATCCTCATATACAGTCTATACTCTCACTCACTCACTCACTCATAACCCAGCTTCACCTTCACCTGAACAAAACCCCAAATCAAATCCCTCCCCGTAGGCTCCAGTCAATTTTTAGACTTCCGAGGTAACATTTTCATGCCTTGTTCCTCCCTCCGTCTCCTCCATCCCTCTCACCCACCCTCCAGGACAGGAAATTCTTCAAAGGATTCTTTGCAAAAGTAAGTTATTGCTTTGTGTGTCTGAGTGTGTTTCTCTTTATTATAACTATTATTAATATTATTTTTTCCTCCTGTCACGTAACACTTCACCCTTTTGATCACGTCCGAAGGCTGGAAGAAACACACAGACACTGATGCACGGGAGAAGTCTGTCTGGAGAGAGACAAACACAATGATGCATGTGTCTGTGGGCAGGTGGGGTGGTTTAGTGTGGGGTGGGGCACTTATTTGTGTTTGTGTGTGTATTTATATGTATGTGTGTGGTTTTTTTTTGGGGGGGGGGTTAACAGGCGTGTCTTCTCTCCGTTCAGCCCTTCTTCCTTGAACCAAGAAAGGAACAATGACCCGCTTGTATGAATGAAAGTTTACTTTTTTGGTGCACACACACACACACACACACAGATATTTTTACGGTTACTCTAACCCATGTGGCCTCCACTGTCGACTGCATCTGTGCACCAAATCTCTTTGTGTTTCTTTGATTCAATTTTGGGAACTAGTGAATGACACAGCACTCAGAAAAAACGAATCCTTATTTGTGTTTCCTCTTTTGTCTCTTACCTGGTGCTTTCTCTTTGTTCACAGGTGTGTTCTCTATGTGTGTGTGTGTGTGTGTGTGTGTGTTGAATAGGTACAAAGGGAGCTAATCTTGGAGGATATGGTCAGACTGAGGCAGTTTCTTTGTTTCTTAACTTGTTCCTGTTCCTTTTTATGTGTCGACAGGCCGGGAAGAAGCCAGTGCGGGCCGTGTTGTGGGTGTCGGCAGATGGTCTTCGCGTTGTAGACGACAAAACAAAGGTAATAAGTCCCTTCGCTCCTCTTATCACAGGCCTGATCAAATAGAAAGCGCTGCCAGAGGAAGCACACGTGGCTTTAGCAGCATTAAAGCTGGAAGCTGTTGAGCTGCTTGAGTTAATAATGGTGGTCTAGTCTAGTGACCTAAAAAAGGCCCTTTTGGAAATATGTGCTCACTGCACCTGTAGGAAGTACGAGTTGGTTTAACGCCATCACATTATAGGTAACAGGGACACCTGCTGGAAAGTGCTGGTACTGCATCAAAAGCTTATAAAAAAGGAGGAATTCAAAAGAGCAATAAAAAGAGAATGAACATGACTGATGTGTTTTCTATATCTACATAATGTGTCCGTTTAAGTCTTGTTATTAAAGGCCCTGTTGTCTTAACACTCAGTTAAGTATATTTTAAAGTGTATGTAGTTAAAATAACTTTCTGAGGTGTGTCTTTTCCTCAGCAGCCCGGTCAGCTGGGTTCATTTCTGTGTACACACACCTCGTAACACTAAAATATAGTAGTTTATGGAAAGATATTGTTAAAAGGTCCAGGATCTTGTATTTCACCTGGAGACCTGGTTCTGTTGTTTATTTGTATTTACTTTGTTGTGTTATCGTGCTGTTAAAAGCAGTAAAAGGATCCAGGATTCCTTCCAGAGTTGGATTCAGTCTTTCTACATCAGCATTACGTTGTGTTTATGCGCAGACAGCTGCTTCTGGAGCTCATAGCAGTTCAGTGTTATTCGAGCACCCTCGTCGCCTTCTCAGTGAAGTACTCTTCATTTACGCTACGTTTTGAACAGACTGGAGTGAGAGTCACTTAACCCTGACCACCGTTTTGAAGCTGCTAATAATGAGGTAATGGTTATTCTCTTTGCAGGACCTGATTTTAGACCAGACAATAGAGAAGGTGTCGTTCTGCGCTCCGGACCGGAACTTCGAGAGGGCGTTTTCTTACATCTGCAGGGACGGCACCACACGACGCTGGATCTGCCATTGTTTCATGGCCATCAAAGACTCGGTGAGAAATCATTGGGAAGCCTCAGCACTAGTAATCCTATCAAAACAAAAGTGAGACAGTTTGTGACAGTTCCTAGATTAATCATTGAGTCAATTAACAGATGTCTTTTTTAATAATAAAGCAATTTATCAAGGTTTAAAAAGTCAAACACCAAATATTCTCTGTTTTTGTCTCTTCTTTTCAGGGAGAGCGTCTCAGTCACGCTGTGGGTTGTGCATTCGCCGCCTGTCTGGAGCGGAAACAGAAACGGGAGAAGGAGTGTGGGGTCACGGCAACCTTTGACGCCAACAGAACTACTTTCACCCGTGAGGGCTCGTTTCGTGTTACCACAGCAACTGAGGCGGCGGAGCGGGAGGAAGTCATGAGGCAGCTACAGGATGCTAAAAATGGTCTGTATTTATTGTGTTATTATCTGATCTGGGGAAATGGTTGTCCAGTTTAACCAAGGTGTTTTTATGAATACCAAGACAATAGCTCGCAAAACTTACATTCATTGAATAGCTGCTTTCAGACATGTACTGAAGTCGGTTTCACATCTGTAAAAATGTTGTTAATTTTGGTTATTTTCTGAGAAGTACTGTTGTGCTGCCCTTTTCTAACAGCAGAGACAGACGTGAAGGTTTCTGGAAACTCGGTGACAAACTCCTCAGCACACCAGACAGGAGGTTCACCATCCCCCTCGTCCTCCCCGCCTCTCTCTTTGCCCACGCTGGGAGCTCAGGCGATACCCCGCAGACATGCACCAGCTGAGGCTCTTGCCAGGCAGGGCTCCTTCAGAGGCTTCCCAGCCCTCAGTCAGAAGACGTCTCCCTTCAAAAGACAGCTGTCGCTGCGTATGAACGAGCTGCCCTCCACCATGCAGAGGAAGTCCGACTTCCCCATTAAAAATACAGGTTAGTCTGGGATCCTGTGTCTCCAGCTCTTTTATTGTTTCACACATCAGAATAATCAGAATCAGTCTGGTTTTAGAAATATATTTTGGATTACTGACTAATCAAACATGAACACATTCCCGGAACAAAATTTTCCAATGAGTTGTGTCCTGTCTTTTACATATTTTAGCGATATTTTCCCCTCTGTTAACTCTGGTTATCCTTCCCCTGGTGTCCTCCTGTAGTACCTGAGGTAGAAGGTGAAAGTGACAGCATCAGTTCGCTGTGTACTCAAATCACAACAGCATTCAGTGGACCCCCAGAGGACCCCTTCTCCTCAGCACCAATGCCCAAGCCAGCCTCATCCCCACAGTCTCCTGTAGCACCAGGTAAAAGCTCCTCTTTTAGCCTTCAGTATCTGACATGTGTAACTGAGCATCTACACAGCTGTGTAGTGTGAGAGGCGGCTTTGTGTGTGTCTGTGTGGTCAAAATAACTTTTGGACAGAGTTTCTTAAAGAGCTTTTTTATCTCCTGATGATTAACTTTGAAACTGATTGGTCAAAGGTTAATAAAACATGCAAATAATTTGACTTGGTAGACAATCTAAAGCTCATATTAAGTAGAAAATTGTTCCCCATCATATGATATCGAAGTGGAATAGAATCAGATAAGTGACAACATGAAGAAGTCTCATTGAAGCTGTTTCTGCGTCCGATCAGACTAGAGACATTATCAAAGCCATATTCAGTTTAACCATTCGTTCAGCATCATATGATATAAATGTTGTCCCAATGATGTCATTATGATGTCACGATATAAACAAGGTGGCTTTGCCTGATTGCTGTATATACTGCTCATGCTCAGAGTACACATCACCCCACTGATGCTTTTCATCGCTGCTCTGTTTTTTTTTACAGCTGCATTGAATTATTTCACTGTACGAGCTCAGAAGTGCTTATAAAACATTTTAGTGTCCTGCAGCTATTAGGATAAAAGTCTAGAGACCGGAGAAACTGGAATAAGAGTAATCAACTTATCAGCCTTTTTGCATTTACCTGCTCCGTTTAGTAGAGAAACCATGAGGCTCACACACATAGATCGCTCACGGCGGATGACGGCCAAAAGTTATTTGTAGCCAACTTTTCTGGGCAACAGTCCCATTCATCAATTTCCCACATTATTGCTGAGTTTGTGATTAATTTGTCTCCATAGGAAATTAATTAACTTAAATAATACTTAATGCAATTGAATGAGATTTTGCTGTGAGAGAGCGTGTGCCTGAGTTGTAATTTACATGTGATTAACAATCGTTAAGACCGCCGATTAACGACACAGTAGCATTGTGCATGTCTAACAAAAGTCTCGTCACACACGCTTGCTTCGTACTAGCATCTGTCTTTTATCTGCTGTAGTGAACAGCACAGCTCCTGCCTTCTCTGTTGCTGCTGCTACTGCTAACCCCCCAGTTCTACCCCCTGCCCTGCCTGCTCGAGAAACTAACCCCTGGGCCAAGACCCCAGCAGGGGCCCCGGCCTCAGCGCAGCCAGGTAAGCAGCTCCACGGGAAGATTCAACTGTTATGTTTGCACGTCACAGGATGCATGAGAGTGTGATACTGACGCCGAGACACAGTAACTGAATGTCCCTCAGTTAGACATGTTAAGCCTGATTGTACGTTGAAAAGAGTATTTCCCAATCGAGGAGGTGGAAGTTGTTCTTCATAACATGGAGGTTGCAGGTGCATGCTGGTTAATCATTGTGGTTTGACCTCTTATTTGACCTTCTTATCTACGAGTCAGCAGCTGCAGCAGTGACATAAAACTCACTGAGGCATTTTAAGTACTTTCAAACACTTCACGTCTGATTCCGGCAATTTGTGAGAAAAATACTCACGTTAGATTTATTACTGAGCTGAATCTAAACACATGATATGATTCACACAGAGTCAGTGTCACACACACTTTGTACAGCTCTGATATCAGGTTCTTGAGTTATGAGAAGCAGAACTTTGTTTTAGACTCTTTACTTAAGTTTTACCTTCTCAGTAATTAAGTATTGCAGGGATACTTCTCTGTCGTTGTGTACTTTGGAAGCAGGAACTGTTTAAACCTAATGTGACTCAGCCAGTTGGATATTTGAGTGTTACTACTTTAATCATCAGTAATATTCTGTGTCTGTTGTTCTCCCCGTTTTTTCTTTTCTGTGTGCTTGCTGACAACAGGAAGTGACTGGTCAACTCCTACTCCGGTGATAGTAGAACCCCCTCCATCCTCCCCCGCCCCACCGTCTCACAAGCGCACGCCATCAGAAGCAGACCGGTGGTTGGACGAAGTTACCAAGTCTATCCGAGCCCCGCAGCCTAATCCGATCATGGCATCAGCGTCGCCCCCCGCCCAGTCGTTCACTGCCCCTGTGCAGATTCCTGTGGCGTCTGTTCCTTCAGTTCCCTTCATGTCCTCTCTGCCCCCCGTGGTGCCCATTTTGCCCCCCCGGCAGCTCGCCTTCCATGGTCAGGCTCCAGCCTCTTACCCCATGTCCAATGGGCTGCCTTTCCCTCAGCCCAGCGCGCCTGTGGTCGGCATCACTCCTTCGCAGATGGTGGCTAATGTGTTCGGCTCAGCCACGCAACCCCAGCCGTTCGCCGTCCCTGCGTCTACGACACCCCAGCATGACACCAGGCCTGTGGGCAACATCAGCCCCTTCATCAAACCCCCACAGCCCACCACCATGAACCCTATTCACCTCCAGTCATCCAATGGTAGTGTGACCTTCAATGGGGCAGACAACTGGGCCACTCCTTCCCAGCTCGCTCCATCCTCCCTAGCCACCGAGCCGCCCCCACAGCAGCAGGAAGATGCCTTTGAGGCCCAGTGGGCAGCCTTGGAGAGCCGCTCGCGCCAGCGCACCACACCCTCTCCGACAAATCCCTTCTCCACCGAGCTGCACAAGACGTTTGAGATTCAACTCTGAAGATTGTGCTCGAGATGAGAAAGTAATGGACAATAAGTGAGCACAGGTGGGTAACTGACAACAGAAGAGAGGGGAAAGTTCCTCTGCCTCCCTTCATCTCTGCTTCAGCGGACAATATCAGCCGGGCTGAAAAGAACTGGCAGATAATGGAGAGCAACGGGTGAATCAACAGGGAGCAGAACTCTGCACAGCAGTGAGAGGAGATTAAAAAAAACAAAACCGTTTGCTGTTAACAAGGATGCTGCTCCCCTGGCTTTTCATTAGCATCGTCTGTATTGTTTTGTTTGTGCTGTGGAGCTCAAGGTCGTCATTACCCTGTGGAATAACTGTGCAGAGCCACACCCAGCCCCCGTGTCAGCCCCCAACCAGGTGTGGCGGCTCCCGTCCCCTCCCCTCCTTTGCTTGGTCGAGCTCCCAGCGCCCCCTGTTGAAAGGAAGAGACCTCCCTCACCTGGCAGAGGAACTGCAGCACTGAGAGAACTCGGCTTCCAGATGAGAAGTTCTCATTAATAACTTTCCAATCAGAAGAATGGAGTGAGACAATGCCAAAATCTTTATTTTTATGCATTAAGTATATTTTAAATAGCTTTGGAATCTAACAGAAGAGTTGTAAGTAATCTTGCCAAAGGCACAGGCTAGCTACAATGAGACAAGTTTATGTTCGTGTATACAAGAAATGACCCTATATATTATACATAAATATATATATCTATAAAGAATCTATACTGTACACAGCTCACAGCAGTGCTAATTTTTAATGTGATGTAAAGAGATTTTGTGAAGGGACAGCTGCTTTACTGTTGTGTTTTACTGTTTTATTTTTGAAGAAAAATCTCTTTATTGCCGTCTACTGCATCCTGTGATTGGATGTGAAGCATCTCACTGTAAATACGGAATCATTGCAGCAACAATCAATGTGGACCTAGCAGTGGTGGTGGTGCCCGACTGGTTGCCTCTCTTACCTGTACTTTTAATAGTTTAGTACACATCAGTACTTAACATTTTGCTCCCTCTGTCTTCCCTGTCGTTCATTTTGTGTGATAACAATCTTGCTTTTTTCTCTCTCTATCTTAATGCCCTTCTGCTGCTGTAATGTCCAGATTTCCCCAGTGTGGGATGAATAAAGTCTATCTTATCTTACCTTATCTTATAGAGGTGTGGGCCTGCTATATGAGAGAAGGTATCAGATTGGTAGTAACCCCTTAAAACATACATCTAATCTTTGTGAACTGTTATCCTGGCACCATGTTCAGTCACTGAAGTGACCTTCTCACTCTCTCACACAGAGACGGCTGTCAACATAGGTTACTCGTGCAAGATGTTGACAGATGACATGACTGAGGTGTTCATCATCAGTGGTCACACGGTCCAGAGCGTGCGGCAGGAGCTCAGGTAAAGTCTCCTTGTCTGGATTGACAGCTGAAAGTCCATCTTTGTCCCTGTCAACACACATCCATTGACACTGTAGAACCCACACTGTTAGTAACATAACCAGGTGTTGGTGAGAAAGAAACCAAGAAGTGTATGCCTACTTGGAGTATGTTGTTGTGATAACACAGTGTCCTTGTGGATGAATGAGAAACACTGAACAACATTCACTGCCTAAACTTAAAAAAACTACCCTCAAGTTTCTGTATGCACAGCCATGCAAATGCACTGCAAATCAGTTCACTCACCTAATTTGTTTTGAATAAAAGACTTAAAAGCATCTACGAAATCTGTCTTGTTTTAAAAAGAATCAAATTGACTTTAACTAAAACAACTGAAAAAGCAGACTAAAAGAAATACTATTTGATTTGCTTGAATTTGCAATAAAACATGATTTTGGACTGGAATGACTCTCAGTGTTGATGTGACTGCCACTATGCTGCCTCACATATGAGCACACACTGTATTGCCCTAACATGTGGTTCTCAAAAGTTTGCACGGACTAAACATTGCATGCTACAGTTCCCACAACTTGTGCCGATTGCAAAAAAGTGTTGGGTTATGTTTTGCTTAGTTTACTTTATTGGCATTGGAAAGAGCACACACTTGAAACTAAGCAAATAATACAACTTTAAAGTGATTAAAACTATTTGTCAACTTTCTACAGTCGAATATCTTCATCAGTTGAAAATATCGCATTGCCCCTGATACATGAAGGTAGAAGAGGAACGTCAGCAATAACATATATACTAAGGAACATTAGAATCTGCCTCAACACAACACTGCCTCCTCACTGAGCTGCTCTTTTTTCATATTACCGTCCTATCTTTCTCTCCACTTTGTTCTGTGTGTTCAGGTGTCTCTGTTTTCCTTCTCCACCATCCCTCTTTTCATCTCCTCTGTTCACTCCGTCACACAGCCTGTTTGGTGCTGTTTAATGCCCCACTGACCTGCATGTTTGTCTCTGTCACCAGGAGGGCGAGAGAAAGGATGATTGAGCTGTCACGCACCAGAGATGAAGGGAAGGAGGTGGGGATGGAGGGATGGGGAGAGGCCTACCTCAGTGGCAATGGACTCAGACAAGGACAAGAGGGAGATGGCACAGGAAGAGGAGGAGGAAGAGGAGGAGGGAAACATCCCCAGTTCCCTCCTCCTCCTTCACCTCCCACCAACCTCATGGACAACGTCTCTGGAGAGTTTGCCCTCATAATCAACGGTCACAGTCTGGTATGAAAAACACTGCGCTCTCATGTTGTACACACACCAAACAGGAGCACTAAGAATTAAACAGTCAACTGTCAGGAAACAGATGTTTTTCAGAAAACTGTATTTTCTTAAAACAGTTTCTTCAGGCCCTCTGTAACCTTGAACTCTCGACTCTCTCTGTCCTGCTCTCTGACAGGCCCATGCTCTAGAAGCCGACATGGAGACGGAATTCGTGTCGACAGCGTGTGCATGCAAAGCGGTCATCTGCTGCAGGGTCACGCCGCTGCAGAAAGCTCAGGTGGTGGAGCTCATCAAGACACACAAGAAGGCCGTCACTCTGGCTATAGGAGATGGGGCCAATGATGTTAGCATGATCAAAAGTGAGTTACGCGAGCAGGAATTATTGTTGTGACGGAGAGTAAAGAGAAAGAGAGAAGTAGGGATTAGTGCACGTGTGTATGGCGTGTCTGCCACTAAATTCTCGGCACAAGTAGGGTGGCAGATGACGTTAGTAGCAGTGATGATGTGGAAATGTGTGTTGCAGTCAGTGTGATTTCCTCATAGAGTTAAGGATGGTTTCTCAGCATCGAAACTTTACTCACATGCAACACAGATAAACACTGATCAAACCCACAGAATATTCAAGATGCCAAATAGATCGAGCTGAGCTTTGAGGGAATGTAATGAAAAAAAAAATGATACGCTACAATATGATACCATACAGTATGATACAATACGCTACCATATTAAACGATATGAAGCGATACGATACACTATAATATCATACGATACGATATGATACAATATGATACGATACATTATACACTATAATATGATATGAATCAAAACAATATGTTGTGATAGAATAAGATAACACTGTAATTCTCCTCTGGAATTTGTCTTGGGTCCCAAGATGTTCACAGAAACCAAACAACAACGCAGACATGTGAACACTTCTGCTCAGAAATGAAACTTTGATTTAAAGGTGTAAAATACAGAGGAAAAAAAGCTGATATTCTTCAAATAACAGATAAGAGGCGTTCGGATGTAATATCACCTGCCAGAGACAAAATTATTTTAAATTACGTGGCTTGAAAACTCGACTCAAGTGCTTGACCCACAATCTTTGAGCAGAATTGTAGCAGTCTACCAAGTCGAGCACTTATTCCATACAGCATAGCACACTGTATTGGATTTCGGAAACAATACCAGGATTCAACCAAGTGTCATCTAACTTCAAAAAGAGCTGCAACAGTGTGATACAGATACATTTTTAATAAGATTGTTTTCTAACCTTATGCTGATTCAGGGAAAACAAAATGAGGTAACTCCAAATACTCCATGTTCTGTGTTTGTTATATTCTGTGTTTTGCAAGTGTTGCATCACTTTCCATGACTGTGTATGTATGACTACATGGTTACCAGTGTGTTTCGTCACATGTATTTATGCAAAAGAGAAATGCAGTCAGTGATGGGTTCCCTTTCTCATCTTAGGATATCACAAATATATTTACTAACTTTTAATATGGTGTACTCACAATTGTGATTAATGAATTTGTTAATCTTAAGAAACTCTTAATACGGTAAATCATTTACAAGCCACTAATAAGAACTTCATTGGATTGCAAGGTTGTGCAAACAGTTTCAATTATTCAGAAAAAAAATCACCAAATTCCTAATTGCATAGTTATTTTACCTTTTGGAAAGTAAGATTTAATTATTTATAATGGTTTGTAGAAATGTTAAAAACACAACAAAAGTCTTGTCTTTCCTACAACAGTTTTATTTGACTCATTTTCTTTCTCTCTCTCTGTCTCTGTCCTCTCCTCTCCTCCAGGCGCTCACATTGGAGTTGGTATCTCAGGTCAGGAGGGGATCCAGGCTGTGCTGGCTAGCGACTACTCCTTCTCCCAGTTCCGTTTTCTCCAGCGCCTCCTGCTGGTCCACGGCCGTTGGTCCTACCTGCGAATGTGCCGTTTCCTCTGCTACTTCTTCTACAAGAATTTTGCCTTCACCATGGTGCACTTCTGGTTCGGTTTCTTCTGTGGCTTCTCCGCTCAGGTCAGAGAGGAGAGGGCGTGGGGGATAACATAACATAAGATGGGAAATGACAGTCATGATTTTAACTGTGTTTGTTTTGTGTGCGTCTCCTCTCTCTCTCTTGTAGACTGTGTATGATCAGTACTTCATCACACTCTACAACATTGTCTACACCTCCCTCCCTGTGCTGGCCATGGGAATATTTGACCAGGTCTGTTCAAAGTATTACCAAGTATTGAGATCACATCTGCTTATACTGTATTTTTTTTTACATGAAATAGGAAATGAATGGAAATGTTAATTCTCTGTTATCATTCTAATCTTTGTCAGCCAAGACAACAGGAAGATGAAACATATTTGTAGCCATGTATGACAATGACGGGCGATTAGTCAGTCCGCTGTTTTGTACAACAGACTCGCTGCAACAGATGTTTAATTAATTGTCACAAAATATTGTGAAGACATTCATCGTCCCTCTACGTTTGTAGTTCCCTGACTTTAACTCTAGCTCCATAGTGAGGTTCAGATTTAAATTTATAAATGACACTGTTGCACAACCAGGACAGTTTGCCACAATGCTTTATGCAAATCTGGATGAATTGCAGTCCCATAAGCCTCAGCTGTGCTTCATAGTGAGAAATAACCAATATTAACCTGCTAATGTGCAAAACTACAGTGGTGAATATGGTTAGAAATATATCTGTTAAACATCATTATACATCTTTTTATATACAAAACCTTATTTAGATAGTACTTTCAACAAAGTTGAAGATGTAGTTGAAGTTAATCAGGTCACAAAACTGAGGAGAATAAAAAGACAGTATATTTTAAACATTCATGAAAGCCTGGCACAGTGGTGGATCTGGGGTTTCAGTAAACCAGGGGCCATAATTTACACAGAGGGGCCTAGTATATGTCCAACATCCATTCACAACTCCTGATTCACATCTAAGTCATTGCTTGTTTACTCCTATAGCTTTGATTTAATACCTCACATCAGTGAATATATTTAAACAATTGTTCCAAGTCGTTTTGTACTTTAACCGATGTATTCGCTTGTGTTGTGTCTTAATGCAGGATGTTCCTGACCACAGGAGTCTGGAGTATCCTAAGCTGTATGAACCTGGGCAGCTCAACCTCCTCTTCAACAAGAAGGAGTTCTTCATCTGCATCACCCAGGGCATATACACATCAGTGGTGCTGTTCTTTGTCCCCTATGCTATCCTTTCTGATGCCACCCAGAGCAACGGAGTGCCCCTCGCCGACTACCAGACCTTCGCTGTCACCACGGCGACAGCGCTGGTCATCGTGGTCAGCGTGCAGGTGGTGTCTGCTTTTCCTTACTGTCGGGAACCATCATGTTTCACAGCTGTTTGTTCTATTGTGGGGTCTTTACTGTTTTGTTGCCTTGCATGTGTGTCTGTGTGTAGATCGCTCTGGACACAGGCTTCTGGACGGTCATCAACCATGTGTTTGTGTGGGGCTCTGTGGGCTCCTACTTCACCATCATGTTCGCCCTGCACAGTCAGAGCCTCTTCAGGATCTTTCCCAATCAGTTCCACTTTGTCGGTCAGTTAACCTTTACAGTTTTTGTGTCAGTCGCACACACAAACACACCTATGCTGGACTTTCGTGACAGATGTCCACGTATTTTAGAGATAATAATCCATCAGCCAACATTTTCTTTTTACACATAATGAAAACTAGCACTCAGTAGAGCAAACAACAATAAACATGAAACAAACAAACAAACTGATATATGTGTATATGATATATGGTTTGACCCACAACTAAAGACAATTCACTGCAGTCACCTCCTGAAGTAATTTCACTCCACCAGTGTGATCATGCAGTTAAGATGTGCACAGTGTTTTTGTTCATGTTTTCGTGTCTGTTTGTCTGTGTGAGTACAGGTAGTGCCCAAAGCACATTATTGCAGCCAGTTGTGTGGTTGACGATTGCACTGGCGACAGCAATATGCATAGTTCCAGTTTTGGCTTTCCGCTTCCTCAAGCTGGACCTGAAACCTCAGCTCTCAGACACGGTGAGAAAATGCACAGAAACACACAAAGTCTCTGACACTGTCGTCTCCATCTTCTTCATCGAGTCAGTATCCGCTCCGGTAAAATGTTCGGTCTAAACTGGGCTCAGCCAATGATTAACTGCACTTGCACAAACAGTTCATCTGAGTGTGTGGCCGTCAGCGGCCTCGTGGACTTTAAATACAGTGCAAATATTGACTTGAACAGTGGAGCCTAATGACACGAAGACTTTGAGTTCATGTGTGTAAGATGAGTGTGTGATGCAGTGATTGTGTGTTGAGCTCCCTAAGCATCCAACTGAATCCGCTGTTTTCTAAATGTTTGTTCTCTGCACAGGTTTATACAGTAAGTAACAGGCCTACAATAGAAAGACATGGAAAACAAAATGCAAGACATTAAGTGGCACATGAACAACCAAGAGTCATCAATGAAAAAAACCTTGTAGAATATTCACAGTATTTCACAAACAATTTAAAAAGAGGCTGTAGATCTTTATGTTAGATCTGAGATATGAATTTACACACATCTTTACTCATTACATCACAAGGACAGATAGTGTGTTGAAACGACTCGAGTAAAAGTATTGATTCAACGTCTTTATTCAAGTAAAAGTATCAAAGTACAGGCTCTGAAATGTATGAAGTTCCCTAATAAGGCCATTGGATGGGGAATGTTTCATTATTCTGCTCTGTCTTCAAGAATGTCAGCGATGTTGGCTAATCCGTCTTCTATGTTACTCCTTGTCACAGACTCACAGATTCAGGTTGAAGTCTGACTTGATGCTGGCAGCGCTTGATGATGCAAAATAAATTTGTATAGATAGATAGAAAAAAAATACAAAAATAAATACAAAAATAAAATAAAAACCAAAATAAAAACACGGAACAGGACAAGGCACTTCCCTCAAATACATTAAAATGAAAGTAAAGAGCCTGTTTTGAAAATGTAAGTTACAGAAAGTACAAATATCTAATATATGTTAAAAGTAAAAAGCAGTCAGAAAAATTAAAACTCAAGTACAGATCCCTGAAAAATCTGCTGAGCTACAGCAACAAAGTATTTGTACTTTAGAACTTCCCACCTTGACAATTAACTGTATGTTTTATTTGTTTCTATCTTTTATTTAATAATCATATTGACTGTGTTGAACTAACAATAAAATTCGCCCTTCGTCTCCGTTGTCTGTATACCAGGTGCGCTACACGCAGTTGGTGCGGCAGAAGAAGAGGAAGCCAGTTGGCCTCAGCGAAGGAAGTGCCTGGCGTGGCATGGGCAGCGTGTCCGAGGGTCGTCTGGGCGCTCGGGGTGGTTCTAGAAGGTCGGGCTACGCCTTCGCCCATCAGGAGGGCTTTGGAGAGCTGATCACATCTGGAAAGAACATGAGGCTCTCGTCTCTGGCCCTGGCCACCTTCGCCTCCAGACACAGCTCCAGCTGGATCGACACGCTCCGCAGGAAGAAACACGCTCACACTCACACTCCCCCCAGCGCCTCAGGGGAGTGCAGTCCAGCGCCCAGTTGTGTCTCTGGGTCACTTCCTCCACTCTCAAACTCCTCCTCCGTTCTGGGTGGCTCCCAGGAGACACCTATCGAGGAGGAAACTGCACCAGTCCAAGATCTCCAGCCTGTTCCCACTTCGTCCACACAAACCCCATCGGCTGCAGCACCCAACTCAGAATCAGCTGCAACTCAGGGTCCAGCTCAGGCCCCGAGTTCCAGCGTCCTCAGCTCCTCAGCAGTGAGATGCCACGGGGGAGACTCACCTGGAGGCTGGACGCTCTCTCTTGGTAGTGTGCAGGTGAGCGACTGTTACTCCCAAATGCACAAAACGGTTGCAAATCATGTGAAATCCTAAATTCTTTATTTATTTATCCTTTCTCCAACAGGAAGCTCTGTTTGGTTGGAAAGGTTTTGCAGCTCGTAGCGGTGCATCCAACAGCCATGGCCTACCCTCCGTCACCAAGGAAACCAGCCAAATTGAGTGAAGCATTCATACTGAACGGAAGAGTTACTTGTTGGCTGCTGTTCATCAGATGTTTGCACCCTCATACAGGATGTGCTCTGTGCTTTTCTGGAGATATGCTGACATACTAAGAGCACGTGGACTGTTCCCACAGTGCTCTCTGCTCTGTTTCCCAACGGATACGTCTCAAAATAAACCATTTTCATTTGGATCACAGGAGGGAGTGACACTCCCTGATGACATAGACTTTCCCAACTATGAGCTGGGATTGAATGGTGAAATATTGTACACGTTCCTACAGCGTACAATCATGAATGGCTAACAGAATATCATGAGACTGACGATGTATAACGTCTAAATGAGGGATGGAAATAGATGCAAGATAACTTATTATTATTAATTATCTAAAAGATTGTTTCCACTTTCAGAAAGATTAGACTCATTGACAGCTACAAGGCAAACAGTATTCCTCAAAATGAGTTGGATGAATGAGCAGATTAGCTGTTTTTATGTCTATGTTCACTATAGTTCTCAGTGAGAACGGTCCTCAGTTACAGAACATTGCAAAAGAGATTTCTGACCCATTTTCTTTTACCTCTACTCCACGTTTTCTTTTTTGCATCATATTGATGTGTTTTATGTAACGGCCTATATTTGAGTTGTACCTTACAGCAAACTCTTATTTTCTTGTTTTTGCAAGTTGGGCCTTTTTTGTTGGTCTGACAAAGGCCCAGATCCTGTTTATGTACCTCTGATGTAAAGATGTTCATTTTTTTATTTTATTTCCTATTTATAATTTGAATGAAGGGAAGGGGTTTGGGAATAATTATGCCTTAATAATGCCAAAATATAAGTCCTCTAACCTCTCTTTTCTGACGCCTGATGCATCCGTCAGGCATAACATTGCATCACATTGCAAATCCAGAGCCCTGACCCAGACATGGGGTGAGATAATCATCATAGGGTTAACAGAGGAATGATATAAATCTGCTCTCACAGCTCTCCAAAGCAGCATTGGATATGGTCTGGAAAAACATGTTGAAATAAATAAACTGTACCGTATTTGGCCCTGTGCATTGTTCAAGCACGGGTCAATTCTGAGGTGAAATGTGAAGCTGTTGAAAGGTGGTCAATAAACATATTACCTCTCTGTCCCAGAAGAAAACCCCACCGTGTCCATCATTTCATTTAAGTTTGTAAGTTTCAGCAAGAAATGACTACGGTGCAAGAAGTAGGGACGTGTGCAGTGAAGGGTGAAATTATGTAAAATGAAGAAGAACTGAAAACATGAGAATTTTAAGCAAAAATCCCCTTTTGTTCTACTACTTGACCTTGTTGTGCTGCTACTTATATATGCAAAGGTCAACATATAAATAGATTTGAGCAGTGTGCCAATCAGACAGCAGTTTTACTACCTTTGAATAAAAGATATATAATATAAAAGTTTGAAAAGCTGCAAAGTCAATTGGAATTGTGCATGTGTGAGTAAATTGAGGATATTTCGAAATACATAGAGACACTGACTGACTTATTTTTTTGATAATATCGGCACTATAGTTATATTTATATATATCTATATATATATATTAGTGGGTGTTATGTTGATGCTGTGGGGGGATTTCCTCTGCGCCTGGTGGATTTCACAATAACGAGTCTTACGGATCATAGAGGAAGCTGCCAACTGTTCTTCAGTATCATGTGTGAGCTGGAGGACTATCTGTTGTTGGACTGACATGGGTTTGGATGAAGTTTGGTCACAGTCGGGTCTTTCTCCAGCTGTTGTTTGTCTGCGTGAATCCTCGGTGATGGTGTGACGACTCGGCGGAGGGAGATCCGTGCGCAATAATGCGGATTTTTCTCCCTTTGCTGTTCGCTCTGTGCGCATCGCTGGGCCGCTGCATTTTCGACGGCAGCTGTCCCAGGAGAGGTGAGATAATACTCTAACGTGGACATGTTTATTTCTCCTTCCATTGTTCGTTATTGACTGTGAAGTCTTGTCAGAGACATAGTCTACAGATACTTATCTTTCACACAGCTTCTGTTTCGATTTTTAAAGAACAGATTTAGAGTTTTACTTTGGTCTTATCCAGCTACAGGGAGAGATTTAATGGTTTAAAACTGAACCTGAGATATGCAGAGAACTGTTTTACCCAATAAAAAAGTTTAGGCAGATATTGTTATTATCATTATGATAGAATTATATTTATAGCAGCAGTTGCAAAGTTCTCTACAAAGAAGACAATTAATTATTATTATTGTTATATTTATTATATTTATAGCAGCAGTTACAAAGTGCTCTATAATAATAATAACAGTTTTCTAAATTCATGGTTAAGCTTCTTTCTTTGTTCACATTGCCATCTCTTACACTACCTTTGCACTAACCAATCAGCATCTAGTTTAAATGTGTTTTTAACCTTGGTCATGTTTGTTGTACTGGACTAGACCTGAAGGAGGAGGGTTACGGGGCTTTGAGGCAACTTCTTCTCATTTTGATGCTAAAAGTCCTGAACTTAAATAGCCAACATTATTTATGAAAAATTTATGGAAAATCAAAGTTCTAGAAAGTACATGGAACCTGAAAACAGTCCACACTCTCTCAGCTGCAGATTCCAAAAGTTTCGCCGGGGAACTAGGAACTGGGAGAGACTGAGGAGGGGAGGGGGGGAAACAGTTTAGACTAAGGGCAATGGACTTCCAGGAAACAGGAAGATATGAATACAAATACAGCTAAGGCTCATGTCATAATTGTCTGTGGGAGTTCTGAGCACATGCAGAACATTGTAAATATCAAAAATCGTAAATATGAAGTGAGTGCTGATCCAAAGAGGTTTAAGTTTGAGAAAGAAAAAGAAATTGGGAAGTGGACAGACAAATTATAAGAGGAAGTTCAAAAGGAGGTGGATATGTTATGTTGCTGCATCTTATGTGCTGTGTTTTGTCAACTGTGACTGTTACCTCAAGGCAAAATAAAACTAGACACTAAACATGTCTAAAATTCAAAGAGGCATGCACGATTCAAGATAGTACGCACAGACACTATTTTTTTTATTAGTTTAATATATTGTATTAAAAATGTTTATGTCCCTTGTTTTTCTTTGCAGACCCCCCACCAGGTATGTTGGTTTTATCCTCGGGCAGTAACCTGGTTCTCACCTGCAAAGGTCACGCAACGGTGGATGGAGTAAAGGTCAACGGTGCCAAAAACAACTCAAAAGCCAACAGGAGAGCGAGTTCTTCAGTCACACCCACAACCACTGGAAACATTGTAAACAGAAAACATATGAAGGACAGTTCCTTAAAGGAAGAAAACCACACCAGCCCTGAGGCAGAAGTCGGTGTGACGAAAGAAACCAGAGGCCCCAGAGACACAGATACAGCAAACACAGCTTCTCCCACTACTCACGTGACCCCACTGACCAGTGTGGTCCGACTGCTGAGGGGTGAATCCAACTGGGACAGTGAAGAGTTGGATGGAGAGGGAGATTTTGGGGAAGATGAGGAGGAGGAAGGGGCGAGTGGGAGCAGGGTAACAAGAGGCACAAAATCCCAGCCTCAGTGGAAGTTGAATGGGGAGACAGTGGGGACAGGGAAAAGAGACTGGAGAGAAATCATATTTGAGAAGAGAGGAGCGACAATGTCTCTGTTCTCAGTGAGAGAGACGGACTCTGGGACGTACAGCTGTCATCACAGAGGCAGAGAGAGGTCCTCCTTTAACGTAGTTGTTGCAGGTGAGTCAGAACAATGTGGGAGTAAAGTTAGAGGTTATGTGTCACTTTGATTTGAGCCATAGGATACAACTGCTGTGTCATGTTTTAACTGATAAAACACAACCAAAGTGCCACACATCGTGGTCAGTGGGTCAAGAAGGTTCGAGTGAAACCCTTACGTAATGTCTGCAAAGAAAAAGGCCTATTGAAAGAAAAATAATCAACATTTTTATTCATTTATCGGGCTAACATAAGGTATATTTAGGGGCGCCTTGGCCCCAGCTGAAATCTGATGGGCCCCTGAAGTGCCCGTGTCCCGTCACTAGTCTTTAAGTAGTCATTGAGAATTTTTAATTTCTTATTTTTTTGAAGAACATATATTCATATATTCAATGATGTGTGAAGCTCTAGTGCTAAGAGTAAACAAGGAATGAACAACCTACTGAGTCCGGAATGATGCATGGGTGTTGGTTATATAATTGGCCCTTCGGTGTAAACTGTGGCCCCTTTTTGACCCCTGAGTTAGATAAACCCCAGGTATGAAACTGCGAACATTCCCTGGTTACAGCCTGTCAGATGTGAGGATTTATGTTTTGGCACACTTGTAAACTGGATCTTGGATTTAAGATAGTGAACCAAAGTTGCTCCTTAAAAATGATGTACTCTTAAAGGCAACATGTTATTAAATGTATAACACACAGTGTGTTTGATTGTCCTGTCAGATCCTCCTGAGAGTCCCAGCCTGTTCTGCTACAAGAGGTCACCGAGCAGTAAGATTCGCTGTGAGTGGACGCCACAGAAGCCTCCTAGCAGAAACATGAACTGTTCCCTCATGCTGAATAAAAGGTGAGGACACACACGATAACACACTGTGACTAATGTATACCTGAGTGAAAGTAGTGAATATCAATCAATTGTAAAGCTGCTATAACATAATGCACAGGTATGTTTGAAAGGCCCAATGTCTTTAGATTTATATTTAGACCATGTAACAGAATGGCATTAACAATTATTGTTACTGTTAAACCGATTTAAGTTATAGACAGAAAAGATGTTTAGAAGAACTATAAACTTTGTGGTGGCTGATTGGCCACATTTCCATCATATTGCATAATGTTCCTGGTTCCCCTTCAAGTATTTTTCAGAAGTTAGTGTGTTCTTCCTTGGGACCCGCGCCACCCCCCCACAAACTTTCATTGAAATCCGTTCAGTTCAACTTTGAAAGAGTTGTTGGTGATATCTATATAAAATGCACAGTTAATGTGACTTTTGATAATGTTCTACGTAACCTTGTTGTGGGTTATCGCTATGGCCACTTGCCAGAAATGAAAATTAAGAGGAGAAGTTGAAAAAGCAGCTGTTTGTTCAGAATAAAAGTTACATTTGAAGGAAATTTTACATCTGATGAAACTGGGCAGTTGAATCATTTGAAATAGTGCAGCTACTGAGAAACGTTTTTCATTAAGTGTTTAGTATTGGATGAAATCAAAGGAATTAAAGATTGTGAAAATTTGTTTCATTCTTTCATGCTTTTTCTCTCCTTCCACCTTCTTGCAGACTGTCAGATACATTCCTTCATTATCAGTGCTCGTACTCTACTCGTCGCTCCCGCTACTGGTGCGCTCTGGACCACAATGAGGACGAGCTGAGATCGCTTCACTTGGCCTACCTGTGTGTTACAAGCATCGCAGGCAATGCCACCAGCCCCCTGCTGCCCTTCACACCTCTGGACATTTGTAAGCGAGCGTGTCCTTGTCAGCATGGTGTTAAAGTTATGAAAGCTCTGTGGAGCTGCTCTCACTGCTTCCCTTCCTGCCTTCACAGTGAAGCCGGACCCTCCGTCAGACATCAGAGTCAACCAGGTGGAGGGACATGAGACATGGATAAAGGTCAACTGGAATTTTTCGACATCCTGGAAGTTTCAAGACAGATATTATGAACTAATCTATGAGCTCAAATATCGACCGCTGGAGTCCTCGTTTTATAATGAGCAGGTGTGTGGTGGCGGAGCGACTGACAGAGGGTAGAGGGGTGGGAGTTTTATGCCTCTCCTCTGGCAAGGCAATATGTTTTCTGGTTGTCTGTGTGTATGTGGGTTCGTCCACTCTATTCTTATGAAACCATTCTTTGCCACAAGTGTTGAGTTAGACCCACAGATTAACTGATTAGATTTCAGTAGGTAAAGTTCTGGAAGACAATTATGTCGACTGAAACTGTTGGTGGCGGCAGTGTGGTAATCCTATCAAAACACGTTGATCATTGTAACGTGTCGTTGGTACAGAGCTAGCCACGTGACTTTACTTAGTCTGAACTCCAGATAGCTGGCGAGCTCAGCGGGTCGACAGACACAGGAAATGCAGGATACTTTATCCTACCAAACATCAACCGTACAATTCCTGGTCTCCATTGCTCTAGAATAAGTCTGTTAGTCATACATGATGAGCAGAACATGTGAAACACAGCTGACATCAGCATGTCAGTGCACCGCTCACTCTGGTTCAATACAACAAAAAGGAAAGAGGCTATTCAGTATTGCAGGAGACCCAAATAACTCAAATTGGCTGTTTCACCATATATTCCCAGTAGATGTGTGTTACTGTTCACAGCTGACGTTCTCACTGACCTGAAATAGTTACAGACTCCCCTGTTATCAGAGTAACTGGTTTTCTGTGTCTGTGTTTATGCAGATAAAAAATATTAAGAGCCGGCGCTCGTACACCATCACTGATGCGATGCCTGGTGTTAGATACCTGATTCAGCTCAGGACTAAGGAAGAATATGACGGTCAGTGGAGCGACTGGAGTTCACCTGTCAACATCAGCAGCTGGACAGGTAAATACATACATATATATATATATTCAAGCTATGATTATGTGTCTGTGTCACCATTATCAGTAGAAAGCTAAAGATGGTATTGTTTATTGCACAGAGCCGACAGCCAGAAAACGTACCCAGTTGGTTTCAGGGACATGGACGTGATATATATATATATATATATATATATATATATATATATATATATTCAATTGACCTGTAAATCCTTGAACTTTATCTACAAGTACTCAAGTCTTCATTATCCACCCTGGACACAGACAAAAGTAGTCATGGCAACCTTGGGGGCACAGCTCCTGTTTCCTTCCTGTAAAAACTGAGCATGAAAACATCCCTCACACATAAAGAGTTTTACAGCTGTGTTGGTTTTCCCATTTAAATCAGTTTACTGATGTTTCATCTAAGTTTGATGGACCAATTCTAGAATATTCAACTACACTCTTTACACTGACTTTAAAGATTATTTTTCACATTCCATAGAAATTCTTCTTCATCTTCATATCATCTGTGGTTCCTCTGGAAAATACTGAAACACTCCATGTAACCCTTTCTCAGTGGAGGGAACAGTTTGATGCATTTGTTCATGTTCTTGTAAATGAGAAGATCAATGCTTGCTCAACATGTTTACACAGATTAGATAAACTCACATGATGTGTATGATAGTGACCTTAACAAGTGCTGGTTAATGGGTTTTATATTTTATCTTTGGGACAAAAGGAGGCTTGGTTTTTCCAGTCTTCGTGCTAAACCAAACTAACTGTCTCATTGTTTAGCTGTGCATTTATTATAAATTACATTATCTTTTATTGAATTAGGTGATGCTATATGATTATTGAGACATTAAAGTTGCTCCTCACAGCAAAAAAGCAAATGAGCCTATTTGCCAAAATGTCAATCTACAGCCCTCTGAAATTTGATCCGAGCTTTTCTGATTTATGTCAAAATTATTTTTATCTCCTCAGCTCACAAGCTCAGTGATGATCTGACGGCCACTATGGTGAGTCTGAAGAACCAGTCAAACGTGTCTTTGATTTAAGGGGGAATGATTTGTGCTTCAGCTTGTTTTCATTTTCTTGCCGAAACTCCCATTGTTTTTTGTGTCTGTGTCTTTAACCAACAGTTTCCAGAATTCATAGAGGAAGGATCTGCTGCAGAGGACGACACACCCAATGGTATGTGTTTGTGTGTATGTGCTTGTGTGTGTTAGAGAGAGTGTGGATTAATGTGTAAAAAATTTATTGAGTATTGACATTAGTACATGTGTAGACAAATCTGCATGGATCTGTGAACGTGCATGAATCTTTAAATGTGTGCATGGACATTGATGGATGAAAAAAGCACAGTTTTTCACACAGTTTTTCATACTTTATACACAAACACACACAGAAATAATTTTGCTGAAATATCGGCCCCATAGAAAAGGCTCCACAAGTGCTTGTTGCCACATAATATTCATAGATCCCAGTGACAAAATGAGGAAGGAAAGTGAGGATTTACATTAAAGTTATCTTAAGGCCATGAGGGGAAACTTGTATTTTTAGTGCTGAAAACCCCCCTAGCCTGCTATGTCATGTCAACCGGAAGCTATGTCATCATGATAAGTCAGGCTCAACAATGAAACAAGCTGCAGGAAACATGGCTCAACACACCTATAACACACACAAACATACAACCACTTGCATGGACATGGTTCTGGTCCTCTGGGATTTCTCATTTCTGTCTCCCCTGCAGATCCTGGACCAGTGGTTGGTGAAGTGGAGGTGTCACAACACGTCCTGTGGATCTGTGGTTCATTTCTTCTCTTGTCAATCATTCTGGCTGCCTACATGTTCAGGTAATGACACATCTGCTGATTAATGTGAACTTGGTTATTCCACTTGGTTTGCATGAATCCAACTTGACTCAGAATTTTGAAACCCTCTATATATGCATAAACGAACATACATCTTATTTCTCATTTCAGACACAAGGACAAATTAGTGTCTAAACTCCACTGTTTTAGCATCCTCGTCCAGTCGGGTAACTCGTCTCAGCCTCCACCCTCCACACCAGCCGCCCCAGAAGGGCAGGCCCTGGTGACCTTTGTCCCTCCATGTAACGATCAGCCCTCATCTGGTGAAGCAGACGAAGGGGAAGAAGAAAATGAGGAAGAGCAGAGGCTGGAGGAGAGAACAGAGGCTGTTCACTTCAGCAACACAAGTTATTTCTTGACCCAGAGGATGTGATGTCACTCAAAACAAGCTAGAACATTTTGTACTGCTGGATTGTTTTTTTTAACCTCAGAACTAGTGTCACAGATAGCAAAAGGACAGTGGACTTACAATTGCTGTGGTTCTTGCTCAAACTTTGTATGTAAAGTCTGCCACTCTATCTCTCTAACTATCTCATTCCTGAAATACCTCTGCAGTATTTATACTTCTCTTCCTGTTGCCTCCTAAAATGTGTTGGATGCAGGTCTAATAGCTGTAAAGCCCTGCATCTATGCCTGAATATATATATATATATATATATATATATATATATATAGGTTTGTCATTTATTTCACTCACACCCTGCCCTCTCAGTTTCCACATATTCTTTACAAACGTGTTGTTTTCCTGCCTTTTAGGCTTAGATTTGATGGTTTCAGGCACAAACTGTTGTCCAGTCAACCAGCTTCCAGAGAGGGCTACACTGGGGAAAAAATATTTATAAATGATGATGTAACCATATATGAAATGTGATATGTGTGTGTTAAATACAGAAGTGAACCACAGTGGTTTACTTTTCTTGTATTATCTTAAAAGTCAATAGAATAGTCCAAAAGCTGTATTTTTGAGAAGGTTGTAGGATTCTTAGTTGACAAAGTTCAGAGCTCAAAAGTCCCAAAAGGTGATATTTCATCTTGTGTGCAGAAGATATTGACATGTTCGCACACGATAATTTACTAAAAAGTCCACATGTCTCCGACAACTTCAAATGCTTAAATTTTCACCTTGGACTGTCATATAATGAGATTTTTGCTGCTCTTAAGAGCAATTAAATCAACTTACCCCTGTGGTGTTCTGAGCATACGTTATTAAGTTGTTTTCATTCCATTAACTTGTGCACACGAGATAACAATTTATAGTTTTTCTACTGCTAGCAATTTATATTTTAAAACCTAGTAGCTTATCTTTATTCACAAAAACTATCAATCAATCAATCTAATTGTATTTGTAAAGCGCACATGCACAAATCACAATTTGTCTCATAGGGCTTACCAGTCCATGTTGCAGCAGCAGCAGCAGTAGACATGGTAGTAGTAGTAGTAGTAGTAGTAGTAGTAGTAGTACAGTAGTAGTGATTTCCTTTTTATTGTACAACCAACTGTGCTCCCAGTAGAACTACACACAGTATTATGGACCCATCATGGACTGACCTTTAACTCTGGGTTAACTCTCTTAACTGTACAATATTCATCTGTGTGTGCAATACAGTCATTCATGTGCAGTTCATTCACTGTGCATATCCTCACACTGCACACATTAATTCTTGTTTTTACACTGTATATATTAGTTTTTATTCCATTCATATGTTCCTATATTTGTTATATTCCTTTTCACTTAAGTAGTATTATCCTGTAAATTAACTATTGCATGTTATTATCACTTACTGATGCCTATGTGTGACTCTTGCTGCTGTAATATTGCACATTTCTCCACTCGGGGACTGAAGGATTATTTTATTTTATGTTGTCTTATGTTAGGATGTGCTGCCCCCTAGCGGTCGCAGCTGTCAACTGCCTGAACTCGTTTCTATAGCAACAGTTGTGGACCGTGTCACTAGCAGGTGGTGGTTTAAAATGGCGGCCAGCGGACATGAAAACATTTAGACCGGTAACATCTGCAGAGAAACGATGGCTGGAAAAGGAGGTTCGACCAAACTGGAGCTCGGAGTTTTGAGTCCTGAGCAGCAGGAGAGGCTGCGACAGTTCAAGGTGACGTCACAACAGTAGAGAGGCTGGATTGGAAATGTTTGCGTTTGTTGATCGACTGCTTCAGGAAATGCGTCCTAACTCTTCCTTTTCCAGATCAAGACGAGAATGGACAATGAGATGTACTTGAGGTCGCACCCAGAGGTGGAGGTGTTGGTGGGAGACTTCCTCAGGTGAGCCAGCTCCTCCTGCTCCTCCTGCTCCTCCTGCTCAGAGAAGCTCATTCTGCTCCACGAGTCCAGAAATAACAACGACTCACAGGTCTCACAGAAGACAGAGAAACAAAATCTGTTCTTGAACCTGAAGAAGAAGACCCACCTAAAAATTTATAAAAGAAGAAAAAACAAGGCCAACCCCCCCAAAAACAGAAGAATAAATAAACAATGCCAAACATAAAAGTAGAAAGAAAACTACAATATCAACCTTAGAATTTAGAAAGTTAAAACAACAAGACCAACCTAAAAGAGTCAGAGGAGAAAAAACAAGACCAGCAACAACAACAAAAATTAAAGGACAAAAAAAACAAGACCAACACCTCACTGCTTGTAGAGGGTGAAGCCATCATCCTTAATAAACACACATTATTTATAAGAGTATTGTTCTTCATTCAGTGAAAGAACAGACAATTCAACTCATAGGCTCAGTAATGCATTTGAAGCCTCCACAAAGCTCATTGTCAAAACAGCCTGTGTGGCGTCAGATTTTCCAGCATCACTGAGGAGAATGTGCAGTTCATCACTTTCAATGTCAACTTTGAGATTAGGTCAGAGCACTCTGTCTCTGTCAGTCTGTGTAATGTTTGTATTTCATGTCCTCACAGAAATGTGCTTCTTCAGAGACCTGCTGACATCCGTGAGTTTGCTGCAGGTGAGTTTTTGTGCACGCACTCACACAGAGTAAGTGAAAAATGTTTTTCATTTTAATGTTTTGTATGTTACATGGTATTTATCATCTTGGTTGTAAGGGTAAATTTATTACCTACTTTAAACTGGGGTCCAATAGTTTTACAGTCCCATACTCCTGGACTCTTGGACCTCAGTGTGTACAGTGAAGAGTAAAATAGCCAGGCGTTGTGTAGAAACATAGAGTTCTTGATATTTTCCTCGTAGAACATTGGAGTGGAATGGACACTTTTTTTAATGACCTCTGAGTCTTCTTAACTGGTCTACAGTTCAGCTTTACTCTTGAACTTGCTGGACCTGATTCTGGCAATTTAACCTGCGACTATCAGTCAGCTATACACTTCTCTAAAGAGGTTGTACCCACTCACCAAAGTGACGTAGCAAGAACAACAACTATTTTAAGGTGAAAAGTATTAATAGTGTTGCTTTAAGTGGACCCCAAGGTAATAACTAATAGGGATGAATGTAAACAATACTGTTAACATACAAGCACATGTATAATCTCAGCCACTAACCAGTGTCTGGTCTTTTTCAGATCACTTCACCAACCCAAACCTTCATGCTGCTGTCAGCTCCAAAATGGAGGGAAACAGCGCCAGGGAGTGAAACACACCCGACAGTCGTGACCCTGCAAACTTCTCTTCTGTGTCAACTCCAGTAACTAGATGTCAGTCAGTGTATGTCTGTCTACAAAACTGTTTGGCTGATGGCCTTTCAGATTGCTATCACACATGCGGGATCCAGCGAGGGTAGAGTAGCTTCTAATGGCCTTTCCTAATTAGTGTGATTATAAGATAATGAGGAGGAGGACGTCCTGTGTGTATTACACACCGTTGGTCACATAACACACACGTGAGTACGTAGGGACATGGTGAAGAGTTCATTATGTACTGAAGCTCACGCACTGGGATCTGCAGTCATCTGATGTGAGCAGTGTCCACTCATCTACATGGAAAACACCACGTGTGAGGGGCGGAATAGGTTGCCACTTTTCTACGTATTATAGTCACATCTCTTGGTTACTTGATGATAAAACACTTTCATTTTTTATTAATCTTATTCATCAATGTATGTATGTAGTTAGTTCTTTTTTTAAAGTTGCACATTAGAAGAAGAGGAAATTTAGATAAATTCTACTTTGTATAATTTTTATCTGCATATTTTTTCTACAGAGGAATATAAATCTAAGATAATCTTAGTGTATTTTTCAATAATAGCCATTACCTTAACATTCATTACCACTCGGTGTTCAGATTCTGCTGTTGTGAGTTGCCAGCTTCCTCTGTAAAGTATGTAAATAAAGTTTATCTCTGTGGTCACCTCTGTTTGCTGGTTTGTTTTTTGGTTGTGTAATGCTGTTTGCACAAGTCATTTAAATTGAAATATGATCCGAGGAATAATCATTGCGTCCTGTTTTACAACCTCAGCTCCCACAAGCTGTTGTCGTGCACCATTGTGTCAGATTTTATATTGTGCATCAGTTCAATAAAAAGATAAAAAAAGTTCATATCAGAGTTTTTCTTGTTTAACAATGCTGATTCATTTCATGGTTGACATGAGAATGTATCAAATAAATCTCTCTCTCTCCCTCTCTCTCTCCCTCCCTCTCTCTCTCCCTCTGTCGCACACAACAAGCACACAAACACACCTTGTCATTATATACCATGCCCTGCTTTGACTCAGTGGAGGTCAAATAACAACCCATCTCTCATCAGACGTGACTGAGAGGCAGAGGGAGAGGACGTCCATCCTCCACTCATCTGTGTTCTGTTTCTTTTTTGATTAAATTGTTTGTGGATTTTTTTAAATCTACCAGGGACCTGTCGCAGATTCTGTGAGTAAAACCTAACTATCACATAAATCAGAAAGTTATTTCTTTTTCAGTCTTTGTGATGTTTATTGATTCTTGAAACCTTGTTAAAACCTGCATATAAGACACATACACTAGGCTATATATGTGCATTTTGTATACTTTCATACTTTATACTTAATGTTGATTAATCATTTTTTCCTTAGTGATGATTCCCTGTGGTGTTATTTACAATCAGAAAATATATTTTTATTATTATGCATTAAAATCTTGATTCAATTTAAAAGAGATAAAGGGTCTCTGGAAAATACATATAACTTAAATGGGTCATTACAAGTCTAATATTCATATTTCTTACTCCATTGTTCGTAATCTTTGGGCATATTTAAATGAGAAGTCAAATTAATAGAAAGCAAATCAACTGGATGATTAAAAATTACCTACATGCAAATGATTGAAGTGATTTGTAATTCAAAGCTGTTTGTCCTGAGAAGTTGTTTTTCCCGGGTACATCATGTACATTTGCAAACCTGTTTGTCACAGGATGTTAACCTCCAAGTCCACAGAGTCTCCCATCGCATGGGTAACACGAATGGTAACTAAGGCGGTATGATCACAGGTCCTTAGAGGAAGAGTGTATGGCAGACAGATGTGGTTCACATGGAGACAGGTTCCATAGGAACTGGAGACTTGATAACAAAAACCTGACTCACTGTAACTTTTTATGTTGTGGGAAATTAAACCCACGAAGAAAAAATATTAAGCTAACCTGGGAGAAACTTACTTGTAAAATGTGATGGACAGTTTCAATCATATTTTAACAGAAAGCCAGTGAGGACTTCTCACCATGGCCTCAAAGGGAAGAACATTTCTCCTGCTACTCACTGTAGCTGGTGCAGCCTTGGGTAAGCGGCAACGACCTCACACAAAGTTATTGTCCATTTATAATTGTCATCCATGCTATTTATGTGTTTGAACATCTACGTCCTCAGCAAAGCCTCCATCTATGGTGTCTGGAAAACCTGACTTCAAGGACATGGCCAAAAAACTGGTGAGTCATTCGAATGTCTATAGAAACTCCAGGAATCTTCATCATTTGTTTTAAATCTAACCACATTCAATGGTTTTTAAAACCTTATCTGCTCTGTTTTGTAATCAGATGATGAAGTGCCAGAACATGGGTGAGAACACTTGAAGTTAGTTGTATGTGTGTTTGTGTTGGGGGCGTCAACTCACTGTCCAAAACCTAATCCCCGTCCAGATGGTGTGTTTGTGTGTGTGTGTGTGTGTGTGTCATTGTGCATGTGAGGGCCATGTTTTCATGCATGATGAATGCACATGACTCACTAACATGTGAATTATTCAGTCCAGTCCTGATGTGTTTTAACTGCTTGGTTGCTGTGTTACAGGATACCAGATGCCTATGATGCAGCACAACTCCATTTTCAATTACAGGTAACTCTGTATTTGCATGTGTGTTTCTCTCTTGTGGGTTTGGTTGATTTCCTGAAGAGAGTTTCCTTGTTTATCCCTCCAATTGTCCAATTGTCCATTTTAAAGCAAACTGATATGATGTGATCCGTAACACTTGTTTTTGTTTCTGAGGAGATTTATTTGCTTCAAGTTGAGAATACGTGAGGTCAAGATACGGCTGAGCCAGGTCCTCAGCTCCACCTGAAGACGGTTGAAGGATGCATGTGACAATGAAGCAAAGTGCTGCTGAAAAACAGCACAGTCTTGTTTGAATTTGTCCAGATAATCAAACATTTAGATGAAGAAACAAATGAAACACGGCTCATCTTCATCACCAGCTCCACTCACCCACTTCCTGTCTCCATTCTCAGTGATTTGCCTGTGAAGGAAAGAAACCAGGACTTGTCCAGTTCCAGCCTGTCCACGCTTCTTGATGCTCTGAATTTAGCCACAGGCGACACAAGCAAAGATTCAGTAGGCAGTGTCATCATGGCTGACTCAGATGAAACGGTGTGAAGACGCAGGCACACATACACCCACAGTCATCCACACACACTCACTCACAAGGTTTTGCACTTAAACCTCATTTATACATTATTTATTTTTAAAAAAAACAATCCTTGAAACATTTTCTTAATACATAGGTCAAAAGTTAGTCACTGAATAATTTCAGGATTCAAACAATGATCTTAATATCTAACATGTTCTTTTATTCCTTTTTATTTGTTTATATTCACGTTGTCTCCTTTCTCTGTTTTTTTTTAGTCAAACAAGATGTGGAATTGCACCAAACTTCGACAAATGATCAGACTGATGAGGAACTCCTCTGTCAGTGCACTAATGCCAAGATCTTAACAACAACAACCAAACAGATCCATTTACAAATGAACATTGCTCTCTGGTAGTGTAATCATTCCTGACATCTGTCCACAGGGAGCATATGCATGTTACATCCAAGCAGTTGTGGCGCCCATGTCCTGGACGACTCTGACCACGCCAGGTGAAAACAACATGGACTCAGACGACTATGATGCAATGTTGTGGGCTGCCAAACCTGCACTGCAAGATATGCCTCCGTCCAGATTGAACCTTCCTCCTGAAGTGAAGGCTCAATACATGGAGAAGATGTGAGTATGATTTGATAGTGTGACCTACTTTGCTCTCTCTCAGCAACTTTCCTGAAAATTCTACTGCTGTTGGTTCCAGCATGAACATGATGCGGGACATGCACGACACCATGTCTGACCAGCAAAGAGCTTGTGTGGTAAAATGGGTAAAAGAGCAGATCACTCAGAAGTATTTCAACTGCACAATGATGCCGCCATCTGACTCAGGAGAGGAGTCAAAGCCATCAGGTCAGTAAACAATAATAATTACATTAGTATAAATAAATAGAAAATAAATAAATCTAAAACCTAATTCAGTTTGTAACGGAAATGGCTACTTCTGTATTTCTACATGTATTTATCTATTTCAACATTTACATTTACTTGTTCATTTATTTACTTGTGTGTCTATAAGTTAATTAGAGAGAAGAGAAAAGCTAGGAGAGTCCGAGCCATAAAAGCAAAAAGTATCTTCTCTGATGCAAAATCATGTGATTGAACAACAATGATTTATTTTGTAGAATCTATGGAACGCTGCAACCGTTCACTCAAATGGCTGAACTTGAAAGCGATGAAAACTATTGGGCCTTACCTCTCCCGCCTAACTCCACAAGATGTGGATTCTTCTCCCAGAGACAAGGTGAGGTGCAACGGATGATAAAGAGCCTGTGAAACTGGAGGTACCAGATAAAGAGATTTTATGTTGGTCCCTGACCTTTCGCTTTTTCTCCTCTAGCTGTGTGAATTTTTCCAGTCGGCCTGGTTCAAATCCAACTTGAGTAGCGTGAGCAAGATGAACCCCAGTCTGAGCAAGACGTTTCTCAAAAGGATTCAGGAGTGCTACAGTGGAAAGAAGGAGTTGGCTGAACATGCAGACAAGTGTGTATTCTTCTTATCAGGATGTTGAAGATGTGGCCTGATGCACAGAAGGAATTAGGGATTTTCAGATTTCCACTTGTCATGTAGTTTCCTCAGAAATCAGAGGAGAACAAACAAACTTACTCTGATGTCTGAGTTGTTTAGAGTCTACAGTGTATACAATGTTGCTGGCCAATTAAATTATTATGAAATCATGCTTTTTGCTCCAGCACTGCACTGAATACAATACAAGCTTTTTCTGAGCACACCTAACTCAGACTGACTTCCAGCGTCACTGATATTGACTGTGTGCCACAAATATCAGATAATTGTTGCTCCGTTATTGATTCTGTTTAGGGAGGAAAACTCTTAGATGTACCAACTACAGAAAAAGAGCATCACCACAGTCATTCACTCATTGTAAAAGAAAAAAGCATTCAGTCCTTTGACCGTCCACAGGCTCGGCACACTGGCTTGTTATTATGATGCTCCAGACTTGCCTCCTGACCTCAGCAGGAAACTCCTCTCTCAGCTTGACAACTGCGACAACCCTGGAGTCAGAACGGTATCACTGACTTGATCATTCTTGCACAAATGTCTCTCTTCAGCCAGGACTGAAGTTACACATCTCATGAATCTTTCTCTTTGATGCTTTGTGTTTTAATCCATCCTAACTGAAGCTGAGGAAGCGCCTTGTCCAGTCTGTGATGTCAAATTCCACCTCTGCTCAATCAGTACTCGAGCTGGGCAGTAGCGTAACATTGTTGTCTCCCACACAACTGTTCGCACTCCCTGACACCGATCTCAAAGCCGTCCTCAAAAATGTGAGGCCCAATGTCCCATGGTCGAAAAGCCAGCTGAAGGCTCTGGTCATGGCATACCTGGGGGGGAAAAAGGTGAGCATGCAGGGTTGGCAACTTGTCTCGTCTTCTTCCTCTCCTCTGATACTTGTCTCATTCTGCTTGACTTTAGTGTAAAGAGGTTACATCTGAGGAGCTGATCGCCCTCCAGTCAGTTGCAGAAGGTTTGCCGAGCTGCGTGCTCAAGCGCATCAGACCCCGGGAGATCCTGGATGATCCAGATGCTCTGAGGAACATCTCAAAGAGGATGAGGAGGGGGCAGCTGAAGGCCATGCTGCTGGGGGTGAGTGAGGAGAGAGAAACCGGAAAAAGAGGCTAACAACTGAGCAAATCCGAGAGAATGACAGATTATATCTTTTTTTTAATCCAAAGA